TGCCCTTCCTGGTATATGGGCTCTGAGCAGTGAAGCCAGAGCCCTTGCTGGCCAGGCTAGATGGCATAGATCGGGTGGGGTCCCAAGTGACACAGACTTCCCCTTTGCACCTGGAATCCCACTTGCCCACATTCCAGAGGAGCAGCTGGACTGGTCCCTGAGAGGCCAGGGAGCAGGCTTCCATCTCTACCTCCAGGAGGATAGAGGGCTGTGCCATGGACCCAGGCAATAATGCGGGGAGAATAACGGACCGGAATTTTTGCTCAACAATCCTGTTCTTGGAGAACATAAGAACAGGCCTCTTCCTCTCCTACCCCAGGCACATCAGGTATCAGAGCAGTGAGGAATGGCTCTGAGACAGGTGTGCATGTAGGATGGATTGAACATCTCACACTGCCACTGGGGAGCTTACTTGGGGCTTGGAGAGGTCACATGAACATGGGGACCCTCAGGAAGAGGTGTTTTGGTTACTATAAGGACCCCTTGCAGGGGAAAATGTCAGGCCAGAAGGAAGCAGATGCTCCATAGTATAATAAGGCCACAGTGACTGTGGAGACTGAACAGCAGCCCCTCAATGTCCTAGTCCCAAGAAACTTGCACAGCAAAAGGGACCTTGCAGGTAAGACTAAGTTAAGGATCTGGAGATAAGAATGATCCTGAATTATCCAGGTGATCCCTAAATGTGACAAGAGCTCCTATGGGGGGAGGTGGAGGGAGATTTGACTGTAGGAGATGTGATAATGGAGGCAGCACTAGAGCGATTTGAAGTTGGTGGGAGAAGCCAAGGACAGGGATATAGGCAGCCATTAGAAGCTGAAAAATGAAGGACATGGATTCTCCTGTGGAGCCTCCAGAAGCAGTGCAGTCTTACTAACATTGTGCTTTTACCTCAGTGCATGCACTCTGAACTTTAGTACTGTAAGAGAATAAATTTGTGTGGTCTTAAGCCACAAGCTTGTGGTACCCTGTGACTACAGCCATGGGAAGTTGCAGTATGAATGTGTGGCACAGCCTGAGCAATCTCCAGAGAAGCTCACAGTTGTGGACTTGAGTGTGTTTGACTCCAGGGGCCCTAAGGGAGAAGATGACCCCTGCTTCGCAGGTGCAAGACTTGGAAGCTGACAGTTCCGGCAGCCCTTCATGGGCAGAAAAGCAAAGCCCTCCTTCTCAGTGTCATCCCAGGGCTATGGCACTACCTGTCAGTCAAGGCCCTACCACCCCAAGGAAGTGGCAGGACCAGAGTTAGGGAGGGAGGAAAGAGAGGCCACTGGGGAATCCAGAGGGGACAGGTGGAAGGAAGCAAGGACAACAATCACTTGGCTCCTGGGGATACCCTGAAGTTCTCCCAGCCAGTCACATCTCCAATCTACCTAGCCCTGCTCTACCTGGGGATGCTAATTTGAAACTTTCAGCAAGAGCATCTTACACCTCTTAGCCTAAGCAGGGGTCAGGGAGGTTCCACCGAGGAGGTGACATCTATTGTAGGGCTTGCAGGTGCAGGGGTGCTGGCACACAGCAGAGGTTACTTCACCTGTCTGGCCTGTCTCTCGTCCTCCCCAAGGGGGAAGGCTCCACCTGCGAACAACACAAGCCTGCTCTGCATGATCCAGAAGGAAAGGAGGCTTATGGCCTGGGACCTGGGCAGCTCACAAGTCAAAAGGAAGGTGGGAGGACCAAGCTTGGGCAGGAATCAAGGCCCAAAGGATAGCCCAGGGCCGCCCAGGAAATGACTCACCTGCCATTGACCTCTGTGACTTGGCCCAGACACACAGCCCCCTGTAGAGGTTCTATCTGGCCTTGGCCTTCAGGAGGGCAGCTCTGGGGCTATGTGCCCATAGACTGGCTCCCGGGACAGAAAGAAAGCACCTGCCCCCTGGCTTCTGTGGGGGCAGCAGGGTAGTGGCACATAAGCCTCATTGTTGGTTTCAGAGACCAGAGGCTCAGCGTCTTTGGTCACTGAAGGAAGAGGAGATGCCACCTTTGTACTGTGGGCTGGGCTCAGGCTGGCTCCCCTCACTGCTGTGCCCTCCACCCTCAGATCTCCAGCTCAAAGAGAACCTTTCTGTCCCTCCTCTTCTCCCTTCTTCTTTCCTTCCTTTCCTCCAAAGTCAAATACTTTTCCCTAATCATACTAGTAATACATCACGACATTATTATTAATTTTAAGAATACTTAAACATATAAAAGAAAGGGTGGTGCCTGTGGCTCATTGAGTAGGGTGTCAGCCCCATATACTGAGAGTGGTGAGTTCAAACCCAGCCCTGGCCAAACTGCAACAACAAAAAAATAGAGATAAATAAATAAATAAATAATGTAAAAGAAAAATAAAAAATCAACAAAAACCCACTATCCAGAAATAATCACTGTTAAGCTCTTAATACATATACCTCCAGAAATTACTAACATCTGTCCTAAGACACCTGTCTCCACATAAACAAAGTGTATCTACAAATTTACAAAATCCTAATGATTTCTTGAATGTGACTTTTCTCCTCCCCCTCCACCCACACCCTCTGCTGAGGTTCCCTTCTATGTTTTTCTCCATAGTTTCTATAATCTTCACCACCACCGCCCCATATAAACACATTCAAAGGCACATGGGCACTGAGGCACACAGGCTTTGAGTCACAAAAATAGTATTCTATTATAGATGTTTTTCTTCATCTTGTTTTTCTCATTCACTGATTCATCCTGGCATTCCCTCCTCCATGTCAACAGAAAAGTTCAAATCATTATCTTTAATGGCTGCATAATTTTCTATGGCATAGCTGCATCATAATTAACTCAGCCATCCTACTATTCATGCGTATTCATTTTGCTTTTGGTTGTTTTCTTCTTGCCACAAAAACAATTATCTAATAAACATTCTTATACATAGTCATTGCACACTGCTGATTTATTCCTATGAGACAAATTCCTGGAAGTAAGAACTGCTGGGTTAAAGAGTATGCCTTTTAAATTTTAACGGATGTTGCTAGATTTCTTTCAACCAGTCACATAGGAGAATAACCTGTTCCCCATATTCTCATCAGCACCAGATTTAGTTCTTTTTAATTTCCAGACATTTCACTGGGGATGCACACACACACACACACACACACACACACACATATTATTAAACAGCATCATAATACACAGGATGTTTTACAACTAGCTACTTTTTCATTTAACACTGTGGCTCACACTAGCCCCACTCTTTGGGAGGCTGTGATAGGATGGGAGGATTGCTTAAGGCCAGGAGTTCAAGATCAGCCTGGGCAACATAGTAAAACATAATTAAAAACATTTTTTTTAAATTAGCCAGATGTGGTGGTACACCCCAGTAGTCCTACCTCCTCTGGAAACTGAGGCAGGAGGTCACTTGAGTCTAGGAGGTTGAGATTATAGTGAGCCTATGATCAGGACACTGCAGTTTAGCCTGGGCAAAAGAGTGAGAATCTGTCCTTCAAAAAAAGAATACTAAGCCATAATAACTACCAACCTAGAATTTAATACCCAAAGAAAATGTCATTCAAAAATAGAGGTGAAATACTTTTTTTTTTTTTTTTTTTTGCAGTTTTTGGCCAGGGCTGGGTTTGAACCCGCCACCTCTGGCATATGGGGCTGGTGCCCTACTCCTTTGAGCCACAGACACTGCCCCTAGGTGAAATACTTTTTTTAGTCATATAAAAATTGAAGGGCCAGTCATGATGGCTCACACCTATAATCCTAGCATTCTGGAAGGCTGAGGCAGGTGGATTACTTGAGTTTAGGTGTTTGAGATCAGCCTAGGCAAGAGCAAGACCCATTCAAAAATGATCAGAAACAGAAAATAAAATGAGAGTGGCACAGGCAGCGTGAGTTGAGAGCAAAGTAACTTTACAAGTTTCAGGATAATAAAGAGAAATTTTATTTAGAAAGAACAAAGAGAAAGTTTAGAGCACTTCCAAAGAGAGTTGGAAGTGGGTCCCTCTCATGAAGGAGCAGAGGTGAGAGAGAGACAGAGACTCAAAGGCTGTGCAGCAGTATAAATACCCTCTTTCTCTCTGTTTGATTGATTGCAACTCTTTCATTGGCCTCTCTGCACCTCCAGGCATCATTGCCCTTTTCTATTGGTCATTGATTGGCCTGGATGACATGAACCACTCACTGAGCATGCCAGGGAGGCAATTTGGCCTCCCTGGGTGGACGCCTCAGCTGGGCTAAGAAAGGACCCCATCAGCGGGTCTTCAAGGGGTCAAACACCAGGAGGAACTGGCAGGCAGGAACAGGTACCTATACAGGGAGATGTCTAAGGCAAGGTAAGATCAATCTGGGGATCCCACTACAGTTTTAGTGGAAGAAGGAACCTGATCAACTCCTTGGGCATTAGATCGCCAGCAGGTCTGTTGAGAGGTGTGTGAGAGGTGTGTGAGAATGTGTGGATGTGGTGTGACTGAGAGAACTCCGGGGGTGGAGTTGGACATCCCTTCACAAGGCCTAGGAGAGTATTGGTTTGCCTCCTATGGCTAAGTGGCAGCTTGAGTGGGAAATGGAGGCTGCCCAGGTTAAGAAATGGGTTGGGATTGTGTGCGTGTAAGTGCTTAGAAAATGACTGAGATGGGTAACAATAGGTGGGGTTTCATCCTCCCCCTCCTTTTGTGTGAGTGTCCCCTTCTTCCCTGCTCCAACTTTGCCCCCTGGCTATTCTGAAAGAAACTGGAAGTTTCAAGTTTTCCGCTTTCTATCTTTGGCTGTCTTTGGCCACATGACTGTGTGGGTCTTGGGGGAAAATGAAAGGACATTAGAAAGGATGTTATAGTTTTGTTACTGGAATTTCTTCAGTGAGTCTTTGGTCTCAGGAATTTAAGAATTGAGCCCATGGGCTACAGATCAGTGATAAAATGGGATTTTGTTGGACTAGGGCAAGCAGATGGAGTGGAGAGTGCCAGAGCTATTGGCAGGGGGGCTGTGCCTTGGAAAGTGTTGCAGTTCAGGCAGTCCGGTGAGCTCTGGATGGCCCTTGAAAATCTGGGAGAGAGTGTAAATCTCATGGGGAATGGGGCTGTATCCATATCAGCAACAGGTCTCCAGGGTGAACAGCCTCTGGCAGGGTGGAGGAGGCCCAGGTCAGAGGTTTCCTGCGTGAGTCCTTTGTCTAGGGGTAAATAATTGGCCCTGAGAGATATTTTGGCCAGGACTTGGTAGATGGAAAAATACCTTTACAAACTAAATGGATGTTCTAGCAAATGGATGAATGCAGCCCCTCACCTTGGATAAGGTTATTAGGTCTTTGCTATGGTTTTTTGTCTGGGGAGAGGATTTGCGTGTGTGCTCCTTGGTCAGGGTGGAGCCATCCCAAGGTTTCAGGCTGCTTTGCTCATGACCTTGCTGGAGCTCAGAGGGTTTGAACCTGGAGGTGGGAGTCAGATGTGTGAGCTCACCTGAGCCTGAAAAATGGGGGTTCCCTGTCCAGCCCTGAGTGAGAAAATCCTGTATCAATGTTATATATCTAATAAAATGTCTCTCATTTGTAAAATATAATAATTTGGTTGTTTAAATTGTTGAGGAAACTGAGCCTTTGTCAAAGGATAAGATTCTTCCTTTTTAAACCTTCTAATTATCAGTTTGGCCAAGTGAATGGGTGACTTCATAATGAAATGAGATTCTGTTTAGTGGGAAATGAGTTTTTGAGAGTAAGAGAAATTAGACAGACAGAAAGGAAAAAGGCTTGGTGTAAAGAAAGAATCTTGTGTGATAAATTTTGTCCTGAAACAGAATAGTTGTGTAAGAAAGTGAACGGGCAAAATTTAAAGAAAGTTTAGAATGTTTGTAGATTATCTGTGTAGGTTAAATGAAACTCATAAAAGAGAATTTGTGAAAGAATTTACATGTGATTCAGTTCACTATGTATTTCATTTAAAATATTTTGGCTTGTAATCTTACTTGAACCAATGTTGTAGGCCTTTGATATTTGACAAACCTTCCAAAATCAAAACCCTAAATTTGGAGCTAGGCACTCGTAGTGCAGTGGTTGCAGCGCCAGCCACATGCACCACGGCTGGTGGGTTCAAACTCGGCCCAGGCCAGGGAAAAAAAAAAAGCACAACTCTAAATTTGGTCTTCTTGAAATATTAAGACCACTGAAAGTCATAGGAAAACAAATTAAACTTATTTGATTTATTAAAAATATATAGGAAACATTGTCAAATATGAAATGGTGATTAATTCTGGATAGGTTGGCTTGGCACCTATGGCTCAAGTGGCTAAGGCGCCAGCCACATACACCTAAGGTGGCGGGTTTGAATCCAGCCCGGGCCTGCCAACAACAATGATGGCTGCAACCAAAAAATAGCCAGGCATTGTGGGAGGCACCTGTGGTCCCACCTACTTGGGAGGCAGAGGCAGGAGACTCATTTGAGCCCAGGAGTTGGAGGTTGCTGTGAGCTGTGATGCCACAGCACTCTACCCAGGGTGACAGCTTGAGGCTCTGTCTCAAAAAAAAATTTTTTTGTATAGGTTATGGTTATATATATGTTCCAATATTATAAAGCATTGGTCTGTCCTAATGTTTAAGACATTAGTCTGTCCTAACGTATAAGACATTGGTCTATCCCAACATATATTGTCAGTAATAATTTTAATTCATCTAAAAAAAAGTGTTTTTTATGTAACTGGCTGAGTCCAAAGTTCATCCTAAAAAAGAAAAAGAAATAATAAGATAGACTGATGAATTCTCTTGAATTCAAATTCCTGATATCTTTGGAAATTGGACTATGGAATTGGAACATCTTAGGACTAAAAGCAGATTTTTAGAACTTTCATTGGAAAGTTAACATGTCTATGAGTTTTGCTAACCTAACTTCAAACAAAACAGAAATCAGTTACTTGGAATGGGGCTAGTTTGTTATAACTTTTTGTTCGAAATATTGTTGATTCTGTCTGTGTTCTGTTTTATAGAAGTCAAGAAAACCATTTTCTGTCTTTTGAGCTATTTGTAGGTTTTCAAGCAATGTATGTACTTACGAGCAGAGGTTTTTTTTGGGGGGGTGCTAAATTGAATTTATTTTTTATTTTTAATCTTTCATTATTATTAAATCATAGCTGTGTACATTAATGCAGTCATGGGGTACAGTGTGCTGGGTTTATACACAATTTGAAATATTTTCACCAAATTGGTTAACGTAGCCTTCATGGCATTTTCTTAGTTATTGTGTTAAGACATTTATATTCTGCATTTAGATCCACATGTAGCCTTGTAAGAGGGATCGTAGGTGTGTTCCCACCAATCACCCTCCCACCACCGATCCTCCCCCCTCTCCTACCCTCCCTCTCCCCTGTCCCCATATTCTTGGGCTATAATTGGGCTATAGCTTTCATATGAAAGCTATAAACTAGTTTCATAGTAGAGCTGAATACATTGGATACTTTTTCTTCCATT